GTTTGGGGGAGTAGGGTAACAGACTATGCGATGAGGAAGGATTTGCAGTGACGTGAGGACATTTTGCTTATTTATTTTTAGCTTTTAAGGTGAGGTATATTTGAGCATGTTCTGTATTCATTACAAAGATCCAGATCAGTGGAGGTAGCTACTCACTTGTGACTACAGTTTGTGAGTTTCTACACGTTTCACAGAATCTCTCACACTGATTATTCACTCGAAAAAAAATGCATTTAATATGCCAACAGGCAGAAAGTAAAGGGCTTTACTTTGCAATTATTTTATTACCTAGGAGACTGAATATATTTTTTATCTTGTTAGCTATTGCAAACTGTCTATGCATGTTCTTTGCTTTATGTACTAGCTTCTGCATTTTTAAACTTTCTTTTTTGTATCATTTCCTTTACAATTATTTCATGTTCAGCTCAGAGAGCAAAGGTTAGGAACTACACTCCAACATGTGAGAGAAGGGGAGAATGAGATATATTTGTAATACTGTGACAAGTCTTCTATGCTGAAAATACAGACACACACAGCTTCTCTCTCCCCACTCTTCCCCTCTCCCACATAGGGGTGCCAGGCACCACTTCTGTGCCACCGTTTCACCCAACACTGCTCTAAGCTGCAACCACTTCCTCTTCTCCAAATTCCCTATTCCAGTCTCTCTTTATTCTTGTTTCTTATTGCATTCTTTCAAACAAAGAATAACAACTTTTAAAAGAAGTTTGCTATTCATTATTTAAATATTTTATGCATGTATACTGTCTCTGTTAGGTTGAGTGAGAGTTTATACATTTTGAGTGGTCAAATCTGTCTGTTGGCCACATTTTATTCTCCCTCCCATTGTTTTTCAAACGTTAAAAACTTCTTCTGCATCCTTAGCAGTAATAAACCACCTTTTATATGCATTGCCATTGTATTTCACATGTTTTTTCTTACTGCCACCTTTTGCCCTTTTGTGATTAGATCTATTTTATTTTTTAATGAAGTATAGTTAATTTACAATATTGTGTTTGAGTCAAGTGTACAGCAAAGTGATTCGGCTTTATATATACATATTCTTTTTTAATCTTTTTAAACCTTTTTTCTATTATTTTCCATTATAGTTTATTACAAGATATTGAATATAGCTCCCTGTGCTATACAGCTAATCCTTCTTGTTTGCTTATTTTATATATAGCAGTGTGCGTCTGTTAATCTATGTTCCTAATTTATCCCTCCCCTATCTTTCCCCTTTGTTAACTATAGTTTGTTTATATGTCTGTGAGTCTGTTTCTGTTTTGTAAATAAGTTCATTTGTACTACTTTTTGAGTCCACATATAAGTATTATCATGTAATATTTGTCTTTCTCCCTCTGACTTGCTCCACTTAGTATGGTAATTTCTAGGTCCATCCACGATTCTGCAAGTGGCATTATTTCATTCTTTTTGATGGCAGAGTAATATTCCATTATATATTATATATACATATATCACATTTCCTTTATTCATATATCAATGGACATTTAGGTTGCTTCCAGGTCTTAGCTATTATAAATAGTGATGCTGTGAACATTGGGGTGCATGTAACTTTTTGAATTAGCATTCATCTTTTCCAAATATATGCCCAGGAGTGGGATTGCTAGATCATGTGGTAACTCTTGGTTTTTACAAGGATCTTCCACACTGTTTTCCATAGTGGCTGCATCCATTTCCATTCCCACCAACAGTGTAGCAGGGGTCCTTTTTCTCCACACCCTCTCCAGCATTTATTATTTGTAGCCTTTTTAATGATGGCCATTCTGAGCAGTGTGAGGTGATATCTCATTGCAGTTTGGGGTTGCAATTCTCTTATAATTAGTGATGCTGAGCATCTTTTCACATGCCTGTTAGCCATGATTAGGTCTATTTTTAAAAAACAATAATTTGCTGCCATCTTGTGGAATACATGCTTTTGAATTCAACTAAAGTTTACTTATATCTTTTTCATAAGCATTTTTGAATCCATTTGTCCTTGTATAGATTAAAATTATAATTTTTGATACCACTTCCTGTACTATGTTTTAAATTACATTTTCTAATTTTTAAGTTTTACCCATTTCTTTTATATTTAAAGCCTGTGTTAATGTGACTATGGTTATTTTATGTTTTTCTTTCAAGTTCATCTTATTGTTTTATTCTGTTCTGTTTAATAAAGTTGCTTTGAATTCACTATATTTAATCTAGCTTTATTTTCCTTGCTATTCTTTTTATTTTATAAATTCCATTTTCTAAAAAAAACCGTTTCTGTATGAAAGCAAACCATTATGAAAACACAGAAGAAACAAAGCAGGTAAGGTCCCTGCCCATTTGAATCTCACATTTTCACAGAGAGAAGAAGAATAAAATAAAATAAATGCAAGTATGACAAAATGTCCTCAGGTATAAATCAAATGAGTAAGGGGTAGGTTTTTGTGGGGTGTTTATTAATTTATGGAGTGTATTGTGGGGAGGCCTTCGCACATGGGACAAGAATCAGAAACAGAAGCAGTTTCTATTTTTCTTTACAATATTAAAATGTATGTTAGCAAAGATGGGTGGATTTTCAAATAAAATGCGGCTTCCACACACACACACACACACAAAAAAAAGTGCCTAGTGGATTGTCAAACAAAGAGCAAAGCTCAAAGCCCAAGAAAGATGCTGCATAAGAAAAGTGACAGAAGGAACATCGCATCCAGTACTGGACCATATGAAAACAACTGAAGTTAAATACATAGGAATAAATATGGAATAAAAATTCCATCAGGGGGCTGATGTGGATACTGTAAAGAGGCAAGTGGAGGAGGGGACGTGCTGTCTGCGTGTGGCCCCCTGAGTCCGAGGCCACTTCGGCATCCACGCTGTTGACTGTTCTCTCTGCAACCTGCCTCTTCTGTTGAACTCAATGTATATTGCTTTACCCTTAGCTGGAATGAGCCTTTATAAAAAGTATTCTTGCATTTACTACAGTGGATAAGAAACGTTTTAGAATGTGTCCGAGAGTAAAATATGCCCTTTATGTGTGATCAAGCACGTGTGCACAGGCAAGCAAGAAATCCACACGCATGCATGTGCACTCACACATACACACACGCACACACTACACACACACACACGGATACACACACACAGCTGAATGAAGAGAACCAAAAAAAAACACCCTTATATGTGCAATACATTCTTATATTTCCCTTTGTGTTTAATTTATTCTGTTCTATTTTATTCTTGAAAACATAGTTTGACCCTCTAATAAATCTGAATCTCAGAATATGGAAAACATTCCTCCAGCATGTCTTCCATACCTATGTAAGCGTTTCCCTGCTTTTTGTTCTCTCATCAGCAGCAATTTCTGTGAGAACACACTTTTTTCATTCCTTTATGCAATATACGTTCATTCAGCTACTGTTCCCAAATAAACTAAGTTTGAGGGTTGAGGGGTATGTATTGACACCTGCCTCAAGGCACTCACAGTCAAGCAAGGGAGAATATGGAATTAAACAACGTAAATGTGTCATGCTTTTTCTCTTTTGCATAAAATGCTTTTTTGCTGCTTTGCGATTCTGGGAATCATGGGGCTATCACTGGGGTTGGAATGCAGCCAGAACCAAGGAAGACTGATCTTCATCACAAACTCTAGGGACTCCCAGAGTTATTAAATCTTTTTCCCCTACGTATCCTTTCCCCCTTCTCTCTGTTTTTTTTTTCAACTGATCCTTTGTTTTTCTTTAGATACTGGATATTAAATGGTCATATTAAAAAGGAGCTCTGTGTTTACATGTCCAGGAGAGACTTAACAACTAGAATTTAGGTACTATTTCTACATTTTTAGGGGAAAGATAATCTAATGTTGATAGCTTGCCAGGTAATAGCATTGTTTTCCTAATTATTGTGACTGAGGGTGAGAAAAGCCTGGTAGTAGCATGGCCCCAGGGTTTCATAGTGTGTGTGTGTGTGTGTGTGTGTGTGTGTGTTTGTGCACGCGAGCGCTGTGGAGCATGAGCAGTTCTCAAGGCAGGGAGGAGATACGTGAGCCCGTATTCTCCAATATGAGAACCTTAAAATACAGGTGCTAGAATATTAACCAACGTATAAAAACATGGAGGTGGCCCATTTCTAATCATAGGATTTCTTGCACACAAAACTATTAAAGTGCAAGGAACAACATGTGGACGTTGACTCCCTGTGACTTGAAGTTTAGCTTTAGCAGGGAGGACACTTTGTTCCTCCAAATTCTCTGACACCAGCTAGCATCACTGTCCCTCTTGCACATTCCCCTGGACACACTGGCTTACTTTTGAGCCTTGATTTTCTGAAACGAAGACCTTCTCAGAGTCCTTGCCTTGGCTGTTCCCTCTGTTCAGCACACACTTCCCCCAGATAACCTGATGTGTCCCACCCTCTCTTCCATGAGGTCTCTATTCAAATGTTAGCCAGTCTACCTAATGACCAAGTTAAAAATAACGCCCCCATTAACTGTCTTCTTATTTCCCATTTCTTTTCTTCATAGCTCCTGTTACCATTTGATAATTCGTATGATTTTTTCCTATTATCCTTTCTCCATCATTGAACTATAGTAACGATTGTCTCTCAGCACAGTATACTCTTTGCCTAGAGGTTGTTCAGATCCCAATTTATATTCTTCAAATTTGTGACATAACTTCTCATTAAAAATGTAGAATGCATGACCACTTGGACAAAAGGTTGAACGTGGGACAGGAATTCCAATTCAGAGATGGCACAAGGATCTCTTGAAGGCGAAAGTTCCATACAAAATTTACAAGTATTGGTTGTTTGGTTGAAAAATATAAATTGTAGACTTTTGATTACGTTTGTAATGCCAATTTTTGGGAAAAATTGTCATACTACTTTTTGTTTCCTGGTAGTCACCTCCACCACATTGGAACCAGGAAATGATACATGGATTTCAGAATTTCTTCTTCTGGGAATTTCACAGGACCCAGAACTGCAGCCCCTCATACTGGGGCTTTTCCTCTCCATGTACCTGATCACAGTGTTTGGAAACCTGCTCATCATCCTGGCCATCAGCTCAGACTCCCACCTCCACACCCCCATGTACTTCTTCCTCTCCAACCTGTCCTTTGTAGACATCTGTTTCACGTCCACCACCATCCCAAAGATGCTGTGGAACATCCAGACCCAGAGCAAAGTCATCACCTATGAAGGCTGCATCACACAGATCTACTTTTTCTTACTCTTTGCTGCACTGGAAAACTTTCTTCTTGCTGTAATGGCCTATGACCGCTTCGTGGCCATCCGCCGCCCCCTGCACTACACAGTCCTCATGAACCCCAGGCTCTGTGGACTGCTGGTTCTGGTGTCCTGGATGATGAGTGTCCTGAATTCCTTGTTACAAAGCTTAATGGTATTGTGGCTGTCCTTCTGTATGGAACTGGAAATCCCCCACTTTTTCTGTGAAATCAATCAGGTGGTTCGGCTTTCTTGTTCTGACACTTTTCTTAATGACATGGTGATGAATCTTGCAGCTGGGATGCTGGGCGGTGCTTCCCTCTCTGGGATCCTTTACTCTTACTCTAAGATAGTTTCCTCCATACAGGGAATCTCTTCAGCTCGGGGGAAGTATAAAGCATTTTCCACCTGTGCATCTCACCTCTCAGTTGTCTCCTTGTTTTACTGTACAGTGTTAGGAGTGTACCTTAGCTCTGCTGGAACCCACAGCTCACAGTCAAGTGCAACCGCCTCAGTGATGTACACCGTGGTCACCCCCACGCTGAACCCCTTCATCTACAGTCTGAGGAACAAAGACATAAAGAGGGCTCTGAAAAGAATCATCAGGGTGCCAGTTATGTAAAGGTCAATTTTCCTGGGACTGAGGAAGTACCAATGATGGCAGGGTGCAAAGCCTCAGAGCCAGAGATTGCTTTTCTTTGATCAGATCGTTGAAGTAGAAGTTGCTCCTGTTTCCTCACTGGAATTCCCATTTCTTTGAATTCAACTCCTCTACACGATTTAAGTGACTCACTTTATTATGGTTCTGTTCTATCTGATAGGTAGTGTTTCCTTTGTCCATATTTGTACATTCCCAAAGTTTTTCCCAAGCTTGAATCAGAAACATTTGAAAATGTCTATATCTTACATTGGTCAACTTGGATTTCGTAAGAATAACTTCTTCTCAAATGACGTATCATGCCAAGTAATTTCCCCCTAGTTTTCCTAAAGGAATAATTATGAATTGTATTACTGATGTGGGGGAAAAAACTACACTCATCAATTAAGCTTATTTATATAATTTCATGGTAAAAGAAAATATGAATAGATTTTACTTTAGTCCACGATTTTTTTCATTTGTGTCATTTTGTGTTATTCAAGGACCCTTACACAAAAGAAACAAACACAGAGTTTACCACTGCCTCTGGAATGAGTGAATGCACTATTCCTTCAAACTTGCACGCAAAGACAGTCTTTGGTGCAGAAGACCTAAAACTGTCTACAACCAACTTTCACAGGATCACAGCCTTGCTACTCAAAGAGTGGTCCACACTCCAGGACCTGCAGCATCCATATCACCCAGGGGCTTGTCAAACACGCAGAATCTCTGGGCTCACCTAGACCTGCTGAGTCAGGTTCTGCACTTGTAGTCGATTGTCGTTGCTTTGCAGGTTCACTGAAGTTACAGAACAGTTGGTCTAGAATAAGTTTTCCCGCCCTTTACTGTTGACATTTGGGGCAGGATTGTTATTTTGGGGTGCTTTCTAAGGCTTTTAGATGTTTAGCAGTATCCCTTCGACATTGCCGAACATCCCAGGGGGAAATAATCCTTTCTGGTTGAAAACCTGGAGTTTGAAAACACAGGCACCCTGACAGATTTACAATCAAGGCCCACCACGCACTCAGATAATTACTTTGGGCTCCAAGCCCCTTTCTACACTTGAGAATGGTGTTCCTGAAAGTACTTCCTCATGGATAAGACTTTTATAAATATTAAATCAAACACTCCCTTAAAGGTAGCAAGCTCAGGTTTTAGTACATAAAAATATGTAAATATATCTCTTCTCCCAACAAACATTTTATAATGAGGGGCTGAATGACTGATCTGATCTAGAGATGTAAGTATTTGTTATGGCAAAAGTCTCATAAAGACAATGCATTTAGTGCCCAAGGTTTATTATCAAAAGAACTCAGTTCTCCTCCTTGTGAAAAGGAGAATAGAGATTTTCCGGAGATTCAGGGGCTGTGTCCCCACCATAAAGCAAAGCTTGGAGATACAAGAGACCTAATCCAGACAGATTCTTCAGTCTTAGACTTGGAGTAAACTCTAACTCAGAGCTGAGGTGCTAGGTGATTTAGAGACATAAGAGGGAGGTGGTTTCATGGAAAAGGAGTAAAAATAATAAAACTAGATTCATTTGACTTCTACCCTGGTCCCTTGTGGATACAGAATCATTAGGAAAACTTCCTTCCTTCTAGAACAATTTCCCACAGGGAAATTTTGTGCCTAGAGGTTGAAATAACAAGAGATAAATGTGCCTAATGAGCAGATATAGGAAGCTATGAATATCTCTGTGTCTGCAGTCTTCCAGCCTGTGTAAACTTGGGCTGGAAAGGCATGGTTGTTTTTCTTTGTTTGTTCGGAGTCCTAACTTTGTCTAGGGGACTAAGTTTCATTCCTTCCTGCTGTCTTGTCAGGGGAAAGGGCTTTAGTCTCCAACATCAGCCATCTAGGGAAGAATTCAGACTCCCCCACAGAGACCTTCCTCTCAGAATTCCCATCCAGGTGAGTCCAACAACGCAGTTGACTGTGCATGAGATCAGAGAGAATGGAAGCCAGTTCAGCTTAGCCCAGAGGCAAGAGATTGCTGTCTTTGTTTGCTTGATGAATTAATTGATGTGTTTATTTCAGTGGTTACGTAATTTACAGTGTGTCTGTGCTAGTCACACTTTTGATGGCCTTTCATATTCTTTATCATTAAATTGCTATTATGTCAATGCTAGAAATATATGTTGAGATTGCTACACTCAAACTGTTGTTCCTGTCAGGGGCAGTTCCCCGCCCAGGGGACACACTGAGCAATGCCCAGGGGCATTTTTGGTTGTCACACTAGAGAAGGGTGGGTGGAAACCACGGATGCTGTAAACCTCCTTCAACGCACAGGAAAGAGCACGCAACAGAGAATGATCTGGAGCAGAAAATTGTCAGTGCTGAGACTGAGAAACCCTGGGGTAAAGAATATCATTATCTGTAATATTTATAGCTATCTTCAGGTTGTTTTCCAATCTTGTAACACTTTGTGTTTCTGGCAGCAAAAAAAAGAATACAGCTTTCAGAACCAGTTTA